AATCTATTCGCATATAGTCAATGTCCATTCTTAACAATGCTATGACTTAGGTCGTTTAATGATATCATTTATATGCATTGGTGTTTGTTTCACATCTTTCGATCAATCACTATTACAAATATATATGATAAGGACTTCTATCTAATTCTATGAATTTATAAGCATAAAACACAAAAAGTAATAGAGTGACTTCTTTATTATTATTAAAAAAAATAATACAATAATACATTCACTCAAACCAATCCAAACATGGTTGGATCTTGGGCTCCTACATTAACATAGACAACTACCGAAAATAGGTCCGGCAAGAGAGACATCAATTTTAGGAAAACCCTAATTTGCCTTTTTTCTCCTTTTTTTTTCTTTAATTTCTCATCTTATCTCTTCAAACTCAATTTCAATTAGAGCAATTTTCAATTAAACCTCCAATTTAATTTTTTCTTCATTCTAAATTCTCATATATATTTTTAATTGGACCCTAAATTCCAATTTTTTTCTATTTATCTCACTTTTTTTCTTCTTCTTTTCTTTTTTCCTTTTTTTTTTTTTTGTATTTTTATAAACTCATAAAAATCATAAGATTCCTAAAAATCCAAACTCGAAGGTAAAAATTTGCACAATAAAGAGAATTAAACAATGCATATTTAATTTTGATAATTTCTTCAAGAAAATTTTATGAAGCAAAAAGGGGAAAAAATTGGGTAATAATAGTTGTCTTCTCTTTACAATGCTTATGACACAAAGTCATTAAAAAGTTCTTTCATTTGGCTTTGCATATAAAGCATTGTAATGAAAATCAAAAAGAAAAAAGAAACAAGTAAAACACAAATAACAATCAAACAAAAAAAAGATAAAAATCAATTTACTAGTCTATTGTTTAAGGTGACCTCCCCCTCCCCCTCTCCTATGACCTATTGTTCAAAGTGACCTACGCCCACAGTCTTTTGTTCAGGACGACCTATGCTTATGGTATGTTGTTTAGGATGACCTATCCCTACAATCTGCTATTTGGAGCAATCTATCCTCGCTAATGTGTCATAACACAACTAGTAAAAAGATTGTTCCATTTGATATTCATTCATAATTCATAAATTATGATTTACCCTCTTTATGGGAATATAAGTTGTCATCATCCAAATTACGGTTTCCTTTTTTTCTTTTGGTTATTGTCTTCTTTTGCTGGATGTCAAGGCCGGACGCTTTCCCAACGTTGGCACGTTCACTCATTTTGTTGTTTCCACTCATTACGAGCTTCAAAATTATGTCAACATCATGTAATCAACTTTTTTTATTGTAAGGAAGGAAATTAACCCTTCACTCTTTGGGATTTTGCTTTCTAGCATTGAAATTTGTTGTTTACAAAACCCTTTTTTTTTTTAATTAGAATTGTCTAAAATATGGGAGCTTTGATTCGGAATTTCATATCATTCAATAAGAGTTGATAAAAACCTTTATCATGTAATTCTTTGAAATTTTAGTATTATCGTATTCTATAAATAATACTAATACATCATTATACGAGAGGACCAAAGGTAAAAATGGTTATTTGGGACTAATCACATATAAAAAAAAGTTATTTTAAGCTTAGAAAAATTCTATGTTTAATCTTGAAAGACAATCAAAGAAATCAAGAAACAAAGGAAAATGTTTGATCGGAAAAATAGTTATCCAAAGCCTTAACTATATCTTTATTGCTTTGGATAAGAACGATTACAATTTCATAAACAATACGTCTTCACAATATTAGAATTCATAGGTTTTCGTAATTCATCATCATCCATGCTTGTTAGAATGAGAGCTTCACCTAAGAATGCCCTCTTCACCACATATAGGCCTTCTTAGTTAGACGCCCTTTTATTCGATCTACCTTTGAGATTTACAAGACCTTTTTTAACACAAGTTCGCATTCTTAAAACTTTTTTTGATGCATCTTCTTATCATATGTCTTTTCCATCCTTATTTGATACAATTATGCATGGTAGATAGTGGCAATATTCTTCTCACTTATCAAATTCAACTATTCATATCGAATTTTTCCCATTCTAACTCTTTTAATTCTATCTCTTTTAGAACTCATGGAGTTGGTATTTCTATTTCTAAAGGCATTATTGATTACATTCTATACACTAGGGAATAAAAGGTTGCCCTAGTTGAAGTTTTGATGGTTGTTCGATGGGAGATAGTGAAAAAAAAAACATCTTATGCTAATTTTTGTATGTCACCATCATATTTTACATTATCTTTTTTAGATTTTTATTTGAATCGTCTATAACCCCATTCATCTTAAGCCTATACGAAAAATAATTATGATGCTTAATTTTTCAATATTAGCATAAGTCAATCATCAATTTGCTATTGAAGTTCTAAGCATCATTGATTATTAGAGTCTCTAAAGAGTAATATCTAAAGATGATGTCCCTCTCAACAAAATGATGTACTTGCCTTTTGAGTCACATGCATAAAAGAAATAATTTTAACCCATTTGGTGAAATAATCAATTGCTTATAAGGATAAAGCAATGCTTGTTGCGTACTTTAGGGTTTATTAGCCCAATCACATACATGTTGCATATCGCAAATGGCCAAGGTGATACCATGTTGTAAAGGGATGTTAAGAGAGCATTTATTTGGTCCGTATGAATCAATACAATCTTTGTTTGTGATGATCCAAACATAACCACTTTGTTGAATATGTCAAGTCATCATTTGTCTATTGGCATACGTAGCATAGATTCCCTTATTGATTTTTTTATAGCCTTCTTAGCCTTTGTCATGTCCAACTAACTCGGTAAAGAGCTATCAAATCTTCCTTTATATAAGATCTTAGCATCCATATAAAAATCTATTTCTAACCTTCGAGTATCTTTCTATCGGTCTTAGAAGCATTCAATAGATACTCACAATTTTTGATGAATTGCTTGATATCGTGAGACCATAGTTTTCCATCTAGTTCATATTGAATTAAACAACGATGATATACTAGAGCATTCTTGGTTTCAATACATATTAGTTTGATCTTTACTCTACTTTCAATCTCATTCACTAAGTTAAGGGAAGATAGAGTATTGGTAAAATGATTTTTTCCCTACTTAGATGGATAAATTCAATTTCTTTTGAATTGATAAGTTAGTTTTATCAGTTATTATTGATATAACTTTAGTTTCTCATCTTTGTCTACAATTCTCATTTAACATGATTGATTATTAGCAAAGAATTACCATACACATCAAACTTATTGACCTTTATCTCTAAGTCTATTTTCAAGCCATGCACATGTACTTCGTGATTTACTATGTTGTTTGCACATTCAAATTATAATTTGATAGCCATCGGGAATTATATCTTATTTAGTGAAATTAGGACTGACCCAATACTATTTTTGGATATATTGACTATTCTATTGAAGTATAAGCCCTATATATCATTATCCGGTTCTAATTATTTTTCGATCAATATGATTGATTAATTGAGGAATTCAAATATTAAATGTTCATAATCATCAATTATGTCTGTCTACAAATTAATCAACTATTACACTTCCTTTTATAGCTTTTTTTATCATGTAAATAATATCATATTTAGATAACATGACATGAACTCTCATAATCCGGCTTGATAGGAATGACTTCTCAAAAATATACTTGAATGGATTCATCTTTCAAAATTAACCAAGTAGTGTAATAGATCATGTATTGTCTCAATCGTCGGACACATCATACTATGCCACAACATATTTATCAATCGCGAAGTATCTAAACTCACAATCGATGAACTTTTTGATCAAGTAATACATGACCTACTTTTTCTTTCTTGATTCATCTATCGACCTAGAACATTTTCCATAACCACCTTTGTCGCTCTTAAGTATAAAATCAAAGGTCTTTTGAGAAGTAATGGCATAAATAAAGGTGGTTTTTTTAAGCATTGTTTGATCTTTCCAAAAGCTTTTTGACGATTGTCATTCTATATAAAAGGATTTTTTTTCATGGTAATTGAAAGATCATCTCATGTGTACGTGTTAGTTAGGAAATAAAGTGAGCAATATAATTTAAACGACCTAAGAAACCTCATCCTTTTTTCTTAATTTATGGTGTCGGTATACCTTAAGTAGCCTTAACTATATCAAGATCTACCTTATTCCTTCTATTGCTTAAAAGGAATCCAAACAACCTTTTTGACTTTACATCGAATGTGTAATTTAAGAAATTCAACTTCAACTAATATTTTTTCAGCCTTTCAAATAACCCTCTCAAAATTAGAGTATAGTCTTCATCATTTTTAGATATAGAAATCATATCATCCATATATACCTCTAATTTTTTATGCATCATATCATGGCATAATGTGACCATGGCTTTTTGATAAGTAACTTCGACATTCTTCAAATCAAAATATATGACTTTGTAGCGGAAAGTTCTCTAGGGTATGATAAAGGTAATTTTTTCCTTAATTTCTACAACCATCTTGATCCGATAGTACCTAGAGAATCCATTAATGAATGAGTAAGTTTCATTCTTCACTGTATTATCAACTAAGACATCAATGTTTGCCAATAGGATGTTGTCTTTTGGACTAGCGTTGTTAAGGTCATAAAAGTCTACACATTTTTTAATTCTCTCATCCTTCTTCTCCATTACGCCTCTCTCTTAAAAACCCCAAAACCTCCATAGCCACTATCCTTCCAAAGCTCAAAATAAAACATCATCTCTTTCATCCATCACCAAAAACATAACCTTAAGTCTAAAAAACTCATTCTAGTTGGCCATAAGCTCAAGAAATCATCTCCAAGCTATCATCCACATAAAGGAAATCCTCTTTAAAACATAACCACAAGAAAGAGAAAAACCTCTAAATTCCTAATTGTAAGTTCAAGAAGAACCTTCATTTTCCACCTACTAAAACCATAAGGAGATTCATATTAAAAGTCTAGCTAGCCTCTCTTCCTATAGCCACCACCGATACTACCACTATCCAATAACATCTAATAGTTCCAAACCTCACTTATCCCTCTTCTATTAGGCAAGACTCCTTTTTCGGCCTCCTGCTCTCAACCAAACCTTTATCTCTTAGCCGAACTATTCCTAGTAACTCGTCTAGCCCTTTCAACTCATGACGATAGTAATAGTGGCTTCCTCCAACTCTAGGCGGTTTCCTCTAACTCACAAAGCCGGAAACAGACTCTTTCCATATGTGGATAATAGCCAAAAATATATATTCTAACTATAATAATTTCCAACACTAACTACGGATAGTTGCTAAAACTTGCGTCTCCAGTCGTAGTAATTTTTAACGATAGTCATGGATAGCAGCTCCTATATGATAATTTATTTTATAATATTTACGGATAGCTTCTCTTAGGTTTTTTACCCCTTAAAAAGATAGTAATACAACACCCCTTTCTCGATAACCTTTTCCTCTATGGTTGACAATATTGATTGTCTTTATCAAAGATTGAAGACAACGATCCAAACAAGCAAACAAGGGGGAAATCATAACTTAAAGTACTAACCTTCTTTTTCCCTAGCCAACAAGATTGATTGTCTCTATCAAAGAGTTAAAGAAGGGGTCGATTCTTCTTTAGCCTAAAAAGCATCCTCAACATTCCTTGAAAAACTCTTCGATCACTTTAACCAACAAGATAAGTTTAGACACCTTTGTATTGCATTTATATTTTTTATAAATTCAAATAGATTGAGATTAATCTTATGAATAGATGTTATGTTTATGATATGTATATGATATTTGAATAATGATTAAGATACACTTAAAAGATCACGCATCCTTTAGAGGTGCAAAAAAAAAAAAAATCCTCTATCTAAAAGGCCAAGATCATGTTGTTAAATCAACTAATGATATATTCATGAATTAAAGTATTAAATAAAAAATTACCTCTTGTAGCATAGATTTAAATTCTTTAGTAAAGAAAGGAGTTGCCTAAGTGTCCAGCCTCTATTAATGATTCACGTAGTCTAAGCACCACATAAGAAGCACTTAAAATTGGTAGAATGTTAGCTTCATCTTTTCGACTTTGTTTAGTGTTTTACTTTAGAAATCGATTCGGGTAATTTTGCAATAACCCTAAGAGAGAAAGTGTAAGTGGTATGTGCTTAGGGCTTTGGGAGAAATAATTTTCTTTTTAATTTTGCTCAATGTCATGTGCCCTATTCTTTTTCTTGCTTTGCCATTTTTCTCTCTTAATTAAATTCTTTTTATTTGCTTGCACCTCTCCTCCTATTTATAGGGGAAAGTTTTTCCTTATCCTCTAAGAATAAGGAGGGGTGGCAACTAGTCCTAAAAAGAATTCTTAGTTGTTGCTTTCTAATCCTCCAAGGATTAAGAGTTATTATGAATGTGGGCATTTTTTATTTTATCCTTTAAAACATTTATCCTTATCTAATAAGGTTCATGTTTATCCTCCCACCAAAATATCTTTCAAGCTTTTAATTAAATCTATAGGCTTAAACTATTTTAGCCCAATTAATTAATTTGGACTATCTAAATAAATTAAGTTAGATAATTTTAAGTGACCCACATTAGGAAATAGTTTTTCAAAATACCCTTAAACCTAAATTAGGAAACTAATTTCCTTTTAGGTTATTTACTTCTAAATTTGGAATTGACTTCCAAATTAGGAAATTGATTTCTAAAATAGAATATTTTTCATTTTAAGAAACTTTCATTTTAGAAAACTTTTCATTTTAGGAAATTTTTCATTTTCAAAATAGGAAACTTTCAAATTTGAAAACTTTTTCTAACATCTTTGAATCTCTTTTACTATGTGAATATTTAAACTTATACTCGTAACTCAATAGGCTCATAGATATATTGATAATGTATCAAGAATAAAAGACACCTCTTTTATCTCTTGATACATAAATCAAGATTGACATCTAACAAGACATCATAACTACCTAATTCTCTAAGAGGATTACTTAATCTGTAGTTACCTTTTATAAGCATGGTTACCATATAATTTAGTCTTCATATCAATTTATAACGAGCATGATCTCGAACTTGGTTATTAGTCTTGTTCGATCATGATCACACAAGTTTTCTTTTATTCCTAAATGTCTTAGCTCTTAGAATAAACCACCTATATTCTATTGGTATACTCCTATTGTGGCCACATATTTCTTGAGTAGATATTCATCAAACTGCAATGTGATAACTTCTTTATCATACAAGGAATGACATGTCCTATCTTAGTTATGCACCTACCTCTATTAGATTCTTAGTGCACCCAAAAATTGCTCACGTACAACCATTTACTGGGTCCATCGAAATGAGTGTCAAAGTACATAAATCATCTAACAAGATAACCATGATGACTTTAAGTCTAAAGACCAGTTATACCATCTCATATAAGATTCACATAGACTAAACCAAATGGGTTCTCATGACGAGTCAAGTCCAGTGATATGTTTTCTAGCATAAATCACCTAAGTGCTTGCTTTGGTATCATCATGTCAATAGGTGTGAGTGCTATTATATAGCATAAGCATATCAATCACAAGTCTAATCACATACGGTTAATGTCTATTCTTAATAAAGCTACGACTTAGACATTTAATGATATCATTTATGTATATTAGTGTTTATCTTAGATCTTTCGATCAATCACTAATGTAAATGCATATCATATGAATATTTATTTAATGAATAAAATTAAGGTATTAAATTAATATTTATGTTTGCATGAAAAATTAATATTATACAAACATAAATACTAGGCAATGCGAATGGATTATTAAGTGATTAACTTAATAAGTTTAATTATTAAAGGCTATGAAGGTGGATAACTTAAGGGTTTAGTTATATTAATTAAGAAACTTGAAGGAATTAATAATTCAGTAAATATACTAATAATTCATGCATGAATTGCAATTAAAAGATGAATATAAAGAAGGCTAATAATTTGGCCAACGTGAATGAATAAGTAAGAATTTTCTAAAAAAAATATCTAAGGATTATAACTACCTAATAATTAAGGATTGGAATATTTATTAGAATTTATTGATGAAATGGTAAATTAAGCTTCCTAGCAAACTTCTAATATTTAGCCAATGAGGAAACGAAAAAGGGAAAGACCAACTAAGTTACTTAATAACACTTTGATTTAAATACATTTAAAATTATTTAAGTGTAAGACCTAAGTTAACGAGTGTTATTAGTTATTCACCATATGACAATTAATTTATACCTAGCTATCTAATTCTGTTGGATATGAAAGAAGGAGAAAAATGAATTCTTAGCTTAGTTTAAGTAGATATTTATCAAGGGAAACTTATCAAAGAAGGCTAAGAAATTTCAATGAAACTATCTTGAATGGCGTAGTGGTTTTCTTGATATTTTTCCTCTCCTAAAGAAATGGAAAAGACTAAATAAAAAAGGGGAAAGAGACTTCTAGAGAGGTTATAGAAATTTTAGTTAGACAAAGTATTAAGAAACCATACCAAAACTGGTTTGAAAGAGAGAAAGAAGAGAGAAACTGTGAGAAAGAAAGACAAAGAAAAAGAACCCATAAGTTATTAAGAAGAGATGAGAGAAACCATGAGAAAGAAAAAAGAAGAAGAAGCCCTAAGTTAGCAAGAAAAGAAGAGAGAAGCCAAGAGTAAAGAAGAAAAAATAAGAAGAATGGCTTAATGAAAAAGGTATAAAATCTAGTGGGTTGACCAAATACCCAAAAAAAAAAAAAAAAAAAGAGTGAAAGCTTTCAAATTCTTCAAGTGTGATAAAGATCAAACCAATTAGAGGTAAGTGAATTTCTATCTACACCACTTAAATGTAATTGATGTATTGATTAATGGAAATTAATGATATTATAAATGATTTGTGAAAGTATTCAATTGATTAGGTAAATATAAATATTATGTTAATTGATGACCCAATTATTGAAATGGTTTCTTGAAGTTTATGTAATCAATTTAAGTGAAGGATGGTTTGATTGAATTTGAGATTTATATGAGGATTGATTGGAAAATTAATGATCTTATTGTTGGAGGCTATATTCAGCCGACACCCATTTTGAAATAGAATGGGTTAGTTTGTGGTTTTAGTAAAATTTAGTTAGTTGTGAGATTGTATAATTATGATTAATATGAAATTAATTAATTATATGTTTGATCAAGCTTGTTCATGTGTGGATTTGCTTGAGGAAGCATTTGATCGGGATGGGATTTGAGTGAGGATTGGCTTAGTTTGTGCTTTGATGTTAATTACATGTTCATGAATTTTTTATGGGTTTTAATTGGTTTGATAATTGAGATTGATGTTAGAATCATGTATGATAATCAATGGAGAATATGACATGTCAATTTATGGTTAACAAATTGATGGTTCTTTGATGGTGATGGTTATGGACTATTCAATTTCTTGGAATGTTAGTTATATATTTCAAGTTATATGATAATTAAGGTTAATTGATCTGTGATGTGCTTAACGATTAATAGATGTATTATTTAGCATATTAAAAAGATTGGGCTTAGGTGAAGCACATATGTTTTTTTTTTTTTTAGTTTGTGATTGAGGAAGCTTTGACCTAAGCTTAATTGTTATGTTTATTTGATTTAATTGACTGAGTTAATGGATGGCTTTATATTCAACCAAGTGCCAATTTTAGTATGTTTAAATTGTGTTATGTAAGTATTGTGTATATACTCACATGTTCAATTAGTATGTATGAGTTAATGTTCAAAAGTGCCTAATAATGTTACATGTCATACTCATATTCATGTTTATATCATTGTTTAAAATATGTATGGAAAGGTAAGGAAATGATTACTATTGCATTTATACTCATGATATGAGCATGAAAATGTTTTCCTCATGTTTTTTAAGGAAAAAAAAATGGAAAAGGACATGATTTTCAAAGGGATGGCTAGGCATATTTCCAAGAGGCTTGTAAGAGGAATGATCACCCTTTTATGAGGAAAAGGAAAAGGAAAAAGAAATGGAAAGGCACCGAATGCTTTTGTAATTTTTTCACAAATGCTTAGTTTTAAAAGAGGACCGATATATACATACAATTAGCGAGGTGCGCCTAAAGAGAAAAACGAATTTCAAAAAGGCATGAAAGGAAAGGATTTTAAATGCATCATGTGCATTTTATGCATGAACTTCTCTTACTAAGCATTAACTTATCATTTAATTCTGTG